CCCTCTGTACCTCTCAGGATGGAGTTGCCTATGACAATCACTTGACACTGTCTCCTCTGGGACTGCTTGGCTCCTTCGGCCTGCTCAGATCCTGGAGAGTGTGGAGTTGCCTCCTCTCTGGTTGCCTTCTCTCCTTCCTTCTGCTCCAGTGTTTCCAGGGCCTCGTACCTGTTTTCCAGCCTGACTGGAGGGACTGATACTGTTGTGTTGTGAGCTGCCCTGGTTCTGGAGGTGACTGTCTGCCACTCTGCAGTGGAGGGCACCTCCCGAGGTGCTGCTTCCTTGGGTGTGTGGCCTTGCAGGGAAAGGAAATAACCATCAATTCATCCTCCACCTCCCTGATTCCCCTCAGCCTCCTAACCTCCTCCTGGAGCTCCCTTACCTGCGCCTCCAGGGCCCTAAGGTGGGTGCCTGCAGGACGGGTGTGGGGGCAATCCCCGCAGGCCAGGGGGTGGGGGGATGCCAGCTCCCCCATGGGCTGTGTCTGGGTGGAGGCCTCAGACAAGCCCTGGATAGGCTGTGCCTCCCAGGCAGGGGCCGTAGCAGCACTCCGTGTCGACACCATCATAGGAGTTACTGTTTGTTTATAGCTTAGTGCAGTGCCTTCACCCTGCCCTAACAGGAGTCTCCTTCCTGGCCCTTCCTGCTCGCCCACCAGCGCAAACGTAGACACAAATGCCGGCACGCTCTTACAGAGCGTGCCTGTTTGCGCACTCTGTTCGCGCGGCATGGCTCCCTACCAGCTCAGCTAAGAGGGATCCAGGGGGCTTCCCCTCCGGATCCAGCTCAGCTGTGTCCAGTCCCTCCGCCCACTTACCTTAGGGAGATCAGCTGATGCTCCGCTGCTGCTGCGTCCGCCTCTCCCTCAGGTCAGGTAAGGGGGCATGCATGCATGCGGGACACATGTGTGCCTGGATTCCTCTTCTCCTCCCTGCTCCTGGCTCCCGAGTGCCACAGATTTTGATTAGCTCTTTACAACTAGTAAGTCTAGGTTTTGACT